ATTTTGGGGTTAACAACAATTAAAGCGTGGTCGCTACGACATATAGAAGACAATAACTTTGGTTTACAAAACAATTCTGGAACATTAGTAAGACAAATGTCTAAGATAGCATTACCCCGAGTGTGAGTGAACAATTTGTTTCCGACCATCTAGACATAAAGGTTCAATGTTCGTTCTGTTGAAGTCTCCAAATAACATGGTTGCGGCTTGTGGTTTATATGTCCTAATATAGTCAATTCCCAACATTAGATGCTCAATAAGCAACTCACGTTTGTTAACTTCAGTAATGTATATACCTGAAAGAGCGATGTAAGGTGCTGATCTTGGAAACTTTGGATGTGTTATCAGAAGCCAACTTACTTCCAACTCGGGTGGCACATTAATATCGTCTAAGACAACGGCTTTTAGTTGATGTTTGACATATATTAACACACCGCCGCCTTTCTTGTGCTGCCTACATTTATTGAAGGTGGAGAATGAGTCTAATTCGTATTGTTCTGGAGCTGTAAATGGTGTCACCCATGATTCAGTGATAACAATTATATCAGATTTTTCCCTAGCCGCAGCGTTTTCCAATTCGTCAAGTTTGTTATTAATGGATCTTGCATTGGTATACAGAAAAGTTGGTAAAAATGATTTATGATGTCTAGTCCTTGTTTTATCATTATTCTTGATGATATTGGTCTACGTAGTTTTCTTCCACTGCGTCTCTCTCTGGACGCAGGGTTCCTGGAACGCCGCCCTCAGCGGCGGGTGCGAAGCACAACTCAGGGTCAAATGTGGAACGTGAAATTTGAATATGGTTTTGTAGTCAGATTTGCGAGAAAAACTTCAGCTACCCGTATTTCTCGACTGAGACGTCAGTGGGAGCTGTAATTTGTATGGCAAGGAGATTGTGCAACCCTTCATTCGTATGAAGGGAATTTACGCCCATAAACTTTGTAGTTATTAATAATTTTATTTTGGTTGTAATAGAAAATATTCATTTTTTGGTGATGTCACACTCACATTAGTTAGCATGCATACGTCATAAGCTGGTTACGTCATCTTTTCCTGGTAAGGCAAACTTTCCCGGTGGCGTGCTTTTTTCATGGATAAACAAACACCACTGCTTTGCACATGGATGCATTGCCCAAGCCAGGGCTCAAGAGCCGCATTGTTAGTATTGTATAATACTTAAACAAGGTACCTCTGCAAATGAATTATTCTTAGTTATTTTTTTTTTCTTATTTTAATTTATTTCTTCTGAAAGTGTAGTTTCTATCACATATAATTCCACTGTCTTAGTTAGGCCTAGTCTTATGCCTCATCGTCCCCCGCTACACAGTACATCAGCCCCTCCCCCATACAGTACAGACGTTTGCTAGGTAACAACGTGATTGCACCTTCCCAGGTGTTCATGTAACATTGACATAATTGTTATCTAACCAGTTGTGTGTATTTCTTTGTGAAAATGAGTACCACGGCGTACTCATTTTCACAAAGCATTTGCATCCCCTCTTAGAAAGAGGGATTCGAAATAATTGTCTCCATATCTTCGCTAATTGAATTAATCACCGTAATTTAGCTTACACTTATGTATTTAGGGAGCACTTAAAATGTGAAATAATCATTTCACTACCCGACAAACTCTGAACAATATTCATTCATTAGGCCTAATAGTTTCATATTGCTGTACTATATACTCCAACGTCACTGGCGCATGGTAACAACCAACTGACTGCAGACCATTTCCGGTCACACATTACTCTCCATAACACAGCACCCCCTAGTGCCGTCACCTCTGGGTTTACTTCTATAGCGTCTGTAATAATTATAAGCACTTGAACTATCGCGTTTGTGTTCGTATTGGATAGCATTCCTCCTAGTCATTGTGTCCTTATGCAAATTAGTTGTGCAACAGTGGAGTGAAGGCGACTGAACCGCGTGAGCCTGTCGTTGAAAGTGAAGCAAGTGGCCTAGCAGTAGGCCTAAATGTAATAACACCAAAAAACATCCAAAAGCAAAAAAAAAAAAATTCAAAACATTACACAATCGGAGAAAATCACAAAACGCAGACGAAGACAAGTTCACATCAAGAATTGAAATAAGAGCGAAAATAAAATAACCAACAGACGTCCGCAGGTGACCAGCGCGTCCACCTTGAGGTTCTTGTTGTTTAAGTTCTTCATTAATAAATGGTAGTTTCAGATAGATTATATTGTTTAAACTGAATATAAGCATTTTCCTTATGGCTTTATTTATTACAAACATATTCTTTCAACATCATTACACATTGAGGCCCTTCTTTTAGGTAAAACGATCTAGGCCTATCTTAAATTTTCTTTCTTGAGTTTGGGACTATGTGTTATAACCTAAGAAGGCAAAGGAGAGCAAGCACAAGCTTTAACATTAAAAAGTGCGCGAGAAGCGCGTGAAAAATGTTTGTTTTTTAAATTCTAATTTCGTCGGAATTGATCAAAACTCCCTAAAATGTGCAATTTTT